CGGTTCGGTGGGGAAAAGGAATAATGCGTTATTAGAAAAAAAAAAAAAGAGATTTATTAAAAATAATGAAGAAATTATTAATTATTCTTTTAGTTCGACTTTTTCCGTTTCTTCTCAACACTTCTTACTAACTCTCAACCACACACTTATGCAAATACTTACTTTTAATCATTTACTTTAATAAATTTGTATATTTTAACTCTTTATTTTATATTATGATACTTTTAGACTTTCACTTATATGAATTGAAGAAAATAACTCTTATTTTAATATCCTGTTAGCTAATTGTTAATTCTGTTATCATATTGTTAGCATTCCATTATAGAAAATATGAAATTTAAATTCAATTTTATTTGTTAGTTTTATTAACAAAATGCTAACATTCAACTAACATAGTTAACAGTTAACTAACAGAACTAACAGTTAATTAACAGAATTAATAATCAGTTAACAAAATTAACAGTTAGCTAACAGAATTAATAATCAACTAACAAAACTAAAAAGACATTATAATCTGGCGTTAAGTAAGAGTTATTTTTTCTTCAATTCATATAGATGAGGGGTAAAAACTGTTACAGTATAAAGTGAGAAGTTAAAATTTATAAACTTATTGAGGTAAAAGACTAAAAATAAGTTTTTACCCCACACTTGTTGGGTGCGGCTATTATGAGGCAAAAAAGAGTTAGGTTATGCAAATATTAATTTTTTTATAATTAATTACTTATGATATTTATAAATATTAATATATAAATTGCTTTTAATTTGTTAAATATATAACTTAATTTTTAGGAAAATAAATATTTTTTCATGCTTTAATTATATTATTATTTGTTTAATTTAATTAATCATTCTATTACAAAAAGTTTCTTTAACTTTTAAAAAATATATATATAAATATATAAATTATTTTTAAATATTTAATTATAAAAAAAAATACTCTGTTATTTCTTTTTTTATGCCAATGAAGACACTGTTTCATTTAGGTTACTGGTGGTAGCATTGTATGCATACATTTTATATATATTCCTTTTATGTTAAAAGAAAAAAAAAAAGACCAATAGTTTGCTTATTCTTTTTATTTTGATAATTTTTGTGTGAATGGTTTGCAAAGCATGATTAAGGGGTCCGAATTCTGGGGATTCCAAAGAGAAAATAAAAAAAAATGTGGCAGATGGAAAAGATGGTGAGAGAAATTTAGAGAGATATATATATATATATATATTTTAGAAAGTGTTGTGCAGTATAGTTTTAAGAATTGCATAATAATAAATTTTTTTATTATAAATACGTATAAAAAACTATAAAAATTGATATTAAATTTAATATCAAATAAATTTAATTAAATAATTAATAAATTAAAAATTAATTTTTATTTTAAATATAAATTTGTAATAAAAAATATATTTAATATACATTCAAAATATAAATTAGATATATACATATATATTTTTTTTTTCTTCTAAAGGCTGAACCAATATACCTTGGGTCCACGCTAGGCTTGCAACTTTCTTCGAGGGGGCGTGGGCCGCGTGGCTCCATAGGATCCTGCATCGGATACTAGAAAAGCAAAGCAAGCAAGTCCTCGGTCGTATTGGATGACTAGCTACGTCACCAACGATTGTAAGGATATGTTTGGATCAGCTTATAGGAATTTTAGTTTTTTAATATTATTTATATTTTATATGTTAAAATTTATTTTTTAAATATTATATTTTAAAATTTTTTTTAACTTCAAAAAGTTCTTAAACAGTAAAAGTTCAAAAGTTTTAAATCCAAATTTCTCATAAACTCTACTTTTACTTAAACAGTAAAAGTTCAAAAGTTTTAAATCCAAATTTCTCATAAACTCTACTTTTACTTATTTTTCACTCATTTTTTCATCTTTTTAAATTTA